GAAATCAAACTCGTCAAATTTTGGAAATCAAACTCGAGTGTCATTTGAGAAATCAAACGCGACAAATTTTGAAAATCAAAAGTGTCATTTGAGAAATCAAACGCGTCAAATTTTAGAAATCAAACGCGTCAAATTTTGGAAATCAAAAATGCATTTGAGAAATCAAACGGGACAAACTTTGAAAATCAAAATTGTTATTGGAGAAATCAAACGCGACAAATTTAAAATCAAAATGACACAATAAAAACGAAAAGGATTTTTCCTTTTAATCATAGACAAGATATCAAAATCATAGAAGACAAGAAAAGAATCAGACATAGTAAATTTTATTTGTGATACTCCTCGAACACCGTACTTTGACACCTTTTGCCCGCTTCTGAGATCGTAGAGGTTGCGGTCACAATAACCAGAACTAAAGCGATGGCAGCCGTAGTCCTCATCATAAATGATGCGCTCTGCAGATCTAAGGTAAGATAGAAAAAGCATTATGATTTTGATAAACTAATTTTTTGACGATTCGTTAGTGCATGTAATTATAAGCGCATGACAAGGCTCCTGGTTTAGAACCACACCCAGTATGGCTCGATTCACGTTAGTTTAAACGATCCTGTTAGAAAAACTAGTTCACGATCTGGAAAAATTAAACGAAGGATTCCTAGCTAGATAAATGTTGCAAACTGCTGTCGAGGAAGAATGAATATAACAAGTCACCGTAAGTCCAAGGAAATGTTTTCAGTGCGAAATATCCTATATAGGGAATTTTTTGTTCGGTGTATAAATAGTAAATTTTTGCTTACTTGCTCTCAAATTTTTCATCTTCCATCACCCCATTAATCTAGACTATCCCTTTCACGCTGGAGTTCCATTTTATTGCCATGATCAGTAACTCCGCTCTCACACGAAACGGCATCATTGAACTTTAAGTGCAGGAAACTCAATGCATTTTATGCCCCAGAAACTGTACAGTACAACCACTCTAACGTATTAACTTTAGATATAACAGTCATGAGCATCAAATACCACTCTTCTCTACTTTGGAGAACTGACACGAAACTGTCAGTTTGGATACTTTCTACAAAGAAAAGCATTACATTTCGTGGGGAACAAGTTTTCGATTTTTGCCTTAGAATAGTTGATGATGTTGTTTTTACTATTTCTAGTACTTTCTTTTTCTCATTACTACCCCTAAATATGCCCTTTACTCACAAAAGGGATAGCACTGGGGGAAGATTCGCCCTTTTTCAATCCAGGGAAGTTTTCCGGGCGAGTCAAAAAAATATACTGGGGAGCAAGGGGTGGACAGTGGTGAGAGCCGGCTCGCCTCCCACCAATCTGGACCGGTGGTTCATATCCTGGCGTCGATGCCATATGTAGGTTGAGTTTGATGTTGGTTCTCTCCTTTGCTCCGAGAGGTTTTTTCTCCGGGTTCTCCGGTTTTCTCCTCTCCCAAAAAACCAACATTTCCAAATTCCAATTCGACCGGGAATCAGGTAGACGAAGAACCACTATGAGGATGTGCTACCATGTTCAAATCCTTATTTATTTAATATATTTTTTTATATATATACCTTACCTTGTTAGCTTATCCCGTAGAACCTTGCGGGCCAAATAAAATATGTCCTATGGCCGTTGAAGCAGTGATATGATCAGTGGACAGTTTTTCAGTAAAATATTTCTTTTAAACTGCTTATGCCGAGTTGACGTTGACGCATCAGCTGATGATTTGGTTTCACCCCATTGGACGAAAAAGGAAAGAGGAAAACGTTAAATACGGGAAGTTGTAATTGAAAGAGAGCAGGTCGTTATATTCGTGGTCATGTGAAAAGATTCATTTTATTTTAAGCTCCTAAAAAATGACAAATTAAAAAATGCTTTACGCGACGAGCTGTTATCAAGGGAACAATATTATTATCATGATTAGTACATTTGAACAGCAAGGCATTAGCTGTTGTGTAAAATTTGACTAATTTTATTGAAATTAAAAAAAAGCGTACGGATTTAGTTCAACGCTGTTTCCCTGTCTTCCTGCCACTCGGATTTCATAAAACTCTCTTGTATTTAAGAAAAAGGGCTTGCTTGTTCCCACTAAACCTCACGAAAATGTTGAAAAGTACTGAAAAGAGGCTTAATTGAATTAAAACTGGAGTTGTTAAAGATCATCATTTCACGTATTTATACAAAAGAGTTGAAGAAAACTTAAATTTCCAAAATCCCTTTCAAGGGAATTATCTTCTACGAACAGTAATTTCATTGTTTAATTTCATCGTGCAGGTTGCTCCCAAATATTTTTTTTTCAATTATCCTTTCTTTTGCTCGACTTTGCTCTCAAGCTGGCTCCAATTTTACTGCCATAATCGATGGTTAACTTCTATAAAGCTACGCCTTGCCAGTTAAGCTCAAGAATAATTTTAGTTATTATTTTTTTTAATTTTAATTAAAAAAGCCTCCTGTCTGAACTGTACACATTTCTTAAAGAATTAGCTGAGATAATCTTTAAAAAAATTCAAAGCATTTTTTCTTTTTCATTTTATTAATTTTCTTAATCGTTTCTCTCGGTTGTGTATTGTTGATGTTGCTAGAAGAAAATAGTTGTTGCTCCGAGTTATGAATTTTTGCATCTTTGCAGACAGGAGAAGGTGACCTTCTCGTCCAAAAAATTAAGTGATGCTTGAGTACATTATATTAGTTTTGAGATGGTCGTGCAGTACAAACTTATTACAAGAACAGTATTTTATTTCATAATTTAAATATGTATTTTTAAAAAGTGGTCCTTTTCATAAGCCTCATGGGCTTCCTTGCCTCATCCATCTGAATTTTGTTTATGTATCTAATTTAAATGTGGCAACAAATAATACTAACATAAATAAGTCTAAAGAACAACCGATTACCAGCGATTTAACATTCCCTGTTGTAAGTATTTAAATATCATTACCAGTTTTGTTAAGACCAGAAAAAACTGGAGAACAGAGAAGACCTGAGCCATTTAAAGCCAGCAGAGTTTAAATCAAGTAAAAATTTTATTAACGATGTTTATTTCGCTCGTTCAAGAGTTATACATATCTCTCCGTCGAGAAAAGGAAGTTAAATCATGTTGAAAACAGGAAGTCGCTGTCCAATGAAGGCGAAGACAAGTGACATTAATCCTACTTCACCAAATAAAGAAATAAGGGTTTTCATAAGAAACGTTCTCAAGAGAGAAATTATACTTTTTTACCCGCAAATTCTTTTATAAAGCAGAACCTTTTGCCTTTATATATCACTACTGAGAAAATGTAAAAAATTGGCCGACACAAATTTCCATTTGACTCAAAATATCCGTCAGTAAAATTAATGTACGAAAAGGTTTAAGCAAGCAAGCATTCAATTTTGGAATAATCTTTACAAATTAAAGAAAAAAATGTATTTTAAATTATATCAGACGATTCGGTTATTCCATGTAATAAAAAGCACCTTTAGCAAGAGGCTCTTGGCTTGGAAACACACCGCGATGAATGATGTCGTGTTTTTTAAAAACATGTTTCCTTCAAAGCAAAATCTGGGAGAAACTCATGGATAGTCTTTCTCACAATATAGAAAATTCGTGCTCTGTGCCATAAGAAGATATAATTGTAATATATGATAAACCCGGAGAAATATTTCGGCTGCCGTGTTACAGTATCTGTCAAAACACGCTTTGCGTGTCCACGATTTTCTATAAGAACAGTCAATACAGGGAGATACACGGCTGTAGTGAAAAGGCATGGCAACACATCGTATAATCATGTATTATTATTCAGCTATGCTTAGTAAAGTGCAAATAACATTCAAAACGTGGAAAAAAACTAGAATATCTCACGGCATTTGTCTGAGATCGAAACACGCAAAGGCAGTTAAATATATGTCGATATGCATAATTTTCAGGACCCACAAGAACTAACGTTAACCAAATCACCACATCGTAAATTCTATTCTACACTTTTTCCTTTTACTTTATTGAACCAAATTGAACGGCACAAACTTCAGGCCCGGCGTTTTGGGTACAGTATTCGGGTATCCGGCGTCTCTTTTATTCAGGTATTCGGTATTTTGTTTTGACAATATGGGCATAATGCATCACTCAATTGAAGTCCGCCCGCCCCCCACCCCCCACGTCCCCCGGGGCATGGCGGGGGATAGGACCACTGATTTGCAAGTCAGTAGTGGGCGGAATATGAAATCATGGGAAAACGTTTATTATGCAAGTCTGTTCAAAAGGTTCGTTCAGGTTTGCGCCTTTACACTAGAGAGACAGTGGCGTGTATGCTTCACTAGTGACAATCTCCCCCCGACCAGTTTTGGTTGAGGAGAATTATTGACCGCGTTTTGCTCAAGAATTCACACACGCAAAAAAATCCTTCATTGGTCGACCATGCCTCTCAAGGACCTGCTCATAAATTGGCTCGAAGAAAATAGGAAATAATCCCAAAGAGGAAAGAATATAGCTGCTTCATTTAAGATCCTTTGCTCCAGCCCTTCTTTGATCACCAACGAATTAAACTTTGCCGAACTGACCGAGAAAAGGTAAAATAACGATAGAGA